AGGTCTGATTCCCTTTCTAAAATAATTGAATCAGTGGTGCCTTCTAAATAATGGAACAACAGTCTTACCTTCGGGAAAGGATTATAAACTCCTTAAAAGAACCGTAAAGTCACTCCAATAGGTGGTTCTTGAGAAAACCAAGGACTACTGGTGACACCGTCTGGTGCAAATAGGAATTCTGATTTAGCTAATTTATAATATATAGTGTGTTACAAAAGTCTTTGAATATTTGATAGCTGGAATTGCTCATTTAGTACTTCTGTCTAAATTTCATAAACATTTCACTAATACTTTTTATATTGGTTTGGTGAATTAAAAATTTTTTTTCCACATATCCATATATTAATAATTAAAATGTCATCTACTAATAAAAATACACATGTTGAAGTTATAAAATATTTATAAGACAATGGTATAAGAAATGTAGGTGAAATACAATGGAGAACAAAGTTCCGTAGTCAACTATTTATTATAATATCACAAAATTTAAAAAAACTGGAAGTGTCACTCATAAAAAATGTAAAGAATGTTTCAAAAAAATTATATCACAAGGCTCAAAAACAATAGCTCAATATGTAAGATGGAATCTGGCAGTATATTCACAAACTTTAGCAAATAAATTATTTAAAAAAGGTATACAAGTTTTGTATTTAATAATTTTATAGCATTTAAAAACCCTTGGCTATAATAAAAAATTACCAATAGCAATACCAATGTTAACACTAGTACACAAACAAAAATGTCTTGAGTAGATAAGAAAACATTGTAATGATAATTGGGAAAAAATATTATTTTCAGATAAAACAGCCTTTCAGCTATTTAGAAATACAATTAAATATTGATATAAAGGTTGGCACCCAGTATGTTGCATGTCAAAAGATTGGTCAAAAATTTTTGCCTGGGGTGAATTTTGTGCATGTGGAAAAACTAGTCTTTTTTGCTTTCAAGAAATTATGAATGGTCCATTTTATGTTGATATTTTGAGAAAACATCTACCTGAAATTAAAAGAATGTTGAGAAATGACAGGAGATTTCAACAGGATAATGATCCCAAGTATAATAGCCATGTAGTAGAAGAATTTCTTAACAAAAACTTTTTCAAAGTAATTAATTGGCCATCCAATAGTCCTGACCTCAATCCTATTGAAAATTTATGGAGTATTGTTAAGGGAAATGTGGAGAAACGGCAACCAAAAAATTTAACAGAATTAGAATGTTTTATGATAGAAGAATGGGATAATATCCAAATACTATTGTAATTGACTTAGTATGTTCTGTGAAGGAACGTTGTGAACTTATAATAAAAAAAAATGGGGAACATATCCCATATTAAATTTTTTATTAACAAATCTAATACTTCTGATGTCTTGAATAATTAATTTTTATGTAAATCTAGAATAGGATAGTTGATTTTAGCTGGTTTATGATATAGGAATTCCAATTTTAGCTGATCTATAATATAGGAATTACCATTTGATACAGTGTTTTTTTTTTGTATTTGACTAGTGCTTGATGAGTTAGAAAAAACTTGTACTTGGAACAACTTTAGTCACAAATAAAATATGTAATCACATAATAAATCACATGCTTAAAATTTAAACTTTATATTATTATAAATAAGTAAATAAAATTATATAATGGCTTTTTATCTGTATAATAATGATAATAATTGTAAAATATCTTATCTGGTAAAATATATCTGAGAAGAACATAAATCTAAAAATTATTATAATAAATCTCCAAACCAAAGTTCTTCAGGTTTTTTCCGATTGCTTCCAAGAATTTCTTCCGAAGCTTTAGCAACTCTTAACAAAAGTTCTTCGTCATACCATTTAGCCATGAATTGTAATCCAATTGGTAATTTATTAGAGTCGTATCCTGCTGGTACTGATACTGCTGGGATGCCGGTAAAATTTGCTAACTGTGCAAATCTCATAGAATCTGATGTAACTATTGTATTAATTTCCCCGTATTTTAATGCTTTGGGAAAAATTTTTGGTGCTGTAATTGCTGTTGCGGGCGTCAATATCAAATTGACACGTGAAAATATTTCGGAAATATTGCGCATTACAAGAGTACGGACTTGTTGCGCTTGAACTAAAAAAATTATTATTAAAAAGTTATTAAGAGACATTTTACTATTTAAATTCAAAGGAATTCAATGAAATCAATTATACTCACTGTAATCCTAATAATTGTAACAGGAATGAAAGATTTCACATGTTTAATAAAACCACTATATTAAAAAAAATAGAAATTATATTAAAACTTACCGAAGCAGTAAAATGTTTTGTAACTGAAAGCATAATCCGATTTGGACAAGTAAATAAATGACTTTTATAATCCTTTCTGTAAAGATAGTGTTCAGTTCCAATAGAAACCACATGCCCTAATCTTGCTTCTTCCAACTCTGGAATTTCAATTTCGATGATTTCTGCACCCCGAAGTTTAAATTTTTCAATAAACGTTTTGATTGCGATGGGAATGGCTGGACTGGTAACTTGGTTATTCCAAGCAGAAAAAACTCCAATTTTTAAGTCTGACAAATTATTGGTAGAATAAAAACTATAAAGTGTAGGAGTTGGTTGATGCAGAGTTTTTTTGTCCTAAAAGAATAACTACTCTAATTACAAAAATTTTTTTTTAATGAATGAAAATTTTAGGAACCGATTTTCAGATCACAAACCTCGGGATCTTTACCTGCAATAACATAATATGTTAATGCAAGGTCATCAGCAGTAGATGCCATAGGCCCTACAACACCCACTGATGATGGACATGTAACTGGATAAAAGAATAAAAAAAGAATTTATAAAAAATTTATGAATAAAAAAAATTATATTTAAAATTTTTCACATTTACATGCTCCAGCTTCTGATACTCTTCCATGCGTAGTTTTTAATCCATAAATTCCACAAAATGATGATGGAATTCTAAAAGATAATTATGTAAAATGTAAATAAACAATCAAAACAACAAACACAAATAAATTCAACAAGTAGAGAAATCGGTCTACTTTAATGTCACCTTATTGAGCCACCTCCATCACAACCTAAAGCGATTGGACACAATCCAGAAGCAATAACACACGCACTACCTCCACTAGATCCTCCACAATAATATTTAACATTATAAGGATTACGTGGAGTAAGAACATGTGGATTGTTATTTGTAATACTATTATATTAAAATTTATATTTATGTCAAATTGACTAAAATATGAAAAAAAAAATTTTTTAAAAAGAGAAAGAAGGTTAATTCTTACTCAAATCCAATTTCATGCATGCATGTTTTCCCGAGTATAATGGCACCTTGATCTCTTAATTTTTGTACAGAAATTGCGTCCTTCTCAGCAGGTTTATTAACATTTAGAAATTTTGTTCCTGATCGAGTTTCGTAACCTTGAATATTAACTTGATCCTTTAACCCAAAAAATGGATTTCAAAATTTCTCTCAAACAATTTAATCGAATAAAGAAAATGTAATATATAATACCTTAATCGCTATAGGAACACCATCTAAAGGTCCTAATGACTTATTTTGTTCATATCTAGCAGTTGATTCGGTGGCTTGCGCGATGATATCATTTCGTTTGTATTTGCAAAAGCCATTAAGCGGTGGATCGCACTTAAAGCTAGAATCAATTTTACCAATTAAAGTTTCACATACCTGGTTCATATAATGAAATCATTATTGTTTGAGATAATCTATTAAAAATATTAAAAAATTTATTAATAATATATGTCTAGACCCTTACTTGTAAAGGTGTCAACTTCTTAGAAAGATAAGCTTTTCGGAAATCGAAGGAGGACAAAAAACCCGAATGACTAGTTTCATCCTTTTCATTGAAAATTTCCAAGCCAATGATTTCCTTCGTAATTTTAAATATTATTATCAGTTGTTATGGTTATTATATTTGATAATATAGAATACGAACCTTAGGTTCTTCTATTCCAAATAATTCCTTTGGCAAAGGTATTGGCGTGTTGGTAAGGTCTTCTTTGAAACTTTTTTTCCTTAAAGCTCCAACACCTGAATTCCAGAAAAGAAGTGAAGATAAGCCGGGTAGATTTTCGACAAGAGGTGTTACTAATTTTAAGGGCAAATTGCTCAAATAGGGACCAGAATGTCTTTTTGTTATCTATTCGAAAAAATTAATTGAAGTTATTATAATTGTTTATAAACGACCAAGAGTACCGAAAAATGAAGTTTGGAGACCTCAACATTAGTCGAATTAGTAGACATTTTGACTTTAATAATTATTCCTTAAATTACTGTTAATATCAATTGTCTGTTATATATAAAGAGCATATGGTCAAAAATTATATTTATAATAGCGAGAAGTATTTTTAATGAAATTTAAATTACTTTTGATTTCTTATCAACGCGATACTTTGTACAATACATACAATGGCGATTTTTAAAGGTATTACATTATACAATAAATTTTTTTAAATGATTACTGAAAGATCGGGTAACAGCACGTGATGAACCTGAAAGAACTCTCGATATAAGAAATTCCACCTGTGAAACTGATTTCTTATAAAAATTACTGCAATTAGTCACATTAAATTGTATTATATTCAATGCATCAATTTCAACAATTCTGACAATTACATAATTTTTCAAATACACTCCCATGATAAAATTCGAAAATAATTGTTAAAATTAAGATACTAATTGTGGCACAATGAGTGATCTAAATTGCATAAACTTTTTTTTATTAGACTCCCTAAACTAGGAACGTCTATAACATCTATACATAGAGATATTATGCTTCAAATGAAATTGACAAAAAATAATAAATTTATTCATGACTGTTACCTATACCACATTCGATGGATATCAAAGATAGATGCCAACTATTTTATATGAAATTATAGCTAGAAATAATATCTATAACTTTAATTATTGGCGATTTTTTCAGTACCTAATAAAAATTTTGACTTCAATTAGATGTGAATAAAAATAACCAAAATTTAATAAAAATAAAAAAAATTCAAGAATAATTATATTGATAGTTTATACCTAAAAAATTTCTTTATCTATCAATATAACAATAAAAATGGTACTAGGTACGTTAAAGTCTGGAATATAGCACATCTTTTGTAAAAATTTCAGCCTTATATGTTGAGAATTGAGAAAATAATTCATGATTAAACTTTGGAGTATAATTTTAAAACGTCCGATATTCAACCATTATTATTAAACTCAATTCTCAATTCAAAAATCTGAAACTTTCACAGTAGATGCTACATATATTAAACTTTAACTGTACTTAGTATTAGTTTTATTGTTATATTGATAAATAAAGAAGTTTTATATGTGGTTCCGATTGGTAATTATTTTTGTATTTTTTTTTTTGATTTTTTAAAAATGATTTTATCACATTAAATTTTTTAAAAATTTTCAGGTGGGCAGATACTTTTGGCATGGAAATGTATTTTTTATAAGGAATTTCTATACATAGTAAATTTTTCAAACATCCTAAGATATTTATCAATAAAGTTATATAATTTTATTTCAAAGTTAATATCTATTACAAATATTATTACATTTAATACTTAAAGTTAAAAATTTTACTTATAACAAATTATTTAGATATGATAAAAAATATAATAAATATTTGTTATTCTATTTTATATTGCAAAATTTTTTGTTGAATAGTATAAAGAAGTTCTATTTGAATATTATCTAATTCCAATTTTGGTTCTTGATTTATAAATTTTAAAATATTATTGATACTTTTAATTACTAATTTTGGTTTGATTGGCTTATTTTGAATTGAATCTACAATTTTTTCATTTGTTATACAGTGCAGAACCTCTATAATAGAAACTTGATTATAGTAAAAATTGATCAACTATTTTGTCTTAAAATTTTTTTTCAAATATAGAAATAAAATTCTAACTTTAGAAAATGATAGTCTAGAACCTAAGCTTTTAGAATCATTGGTTAAAATTTGATCTGATTAAAATTGATCAACTTTTACTGGGATTGAAGTTACATAATTTAATTATACCTATCAAATTTGAGAATATACTAAAAATAGAAACCCATTGTAATTTCACTTGAAATTTGTTTGAAAAAAATTTCCAATGGTTTCTGATATTTTATACCTTTTAAAAATGTAAAATACTGTTAACAAAGGTTTTAAGAGTAGCAAAAAAATGAAAAATTAAACACAATGCCAATAGCAAATTTGTTTCCAATAAACATAATAATTTTGTTAAAGAAAATGATTTTAGTATATATTTTAAGGAAAGTGTATATTCTGAAGAAAGTGAATATGATTTAGATAAATATTAGAGCTACAACAAGAATATTTATCTAGATTCAATTTGATGTGAACTAATTCTATGCAAAAGAAAAAAAGACCATATATAAACAATTCAACTACAACTTATTGTTATAAATATGATTTACATGAAAAATTTACAGTAGTAACAAAGAAGACAAATTCTCTTACAAATTTTTTTAGACTCATTATTTTAGATAATAATGATGAAATTAATAATGAAACTGCTTCTTTTATTAGAATGTATAGTGAATATAATGAAAACGATAAAATAAATAAGAGTAATGAAACAAGTGAGAATCGTGAAATGGGTAACTATAACAAAATAATAGAAAGACATTATGAAATAATGGGTAGACATGATAAAATAATGGATAAATATGATGAAGTAAATAGTGAAATAAGTAGACATGTAGAAATAAATAGTGAAATGAGTGAATATAACAAAACAGAAGGTAGATATGATGAAATTGATAATGAGATAGGTAAAAACAGTAAGGTAGATGGTACTACAGAATGAAAATATCATGATAATATAATATTAAAAACACCTGCAATAATTTATAATAACCCTTAAAATAATATTT